GAACAATTCTTTCTATTCCTAATTAATTATTATAATCTAAACTATCGAGTAACCAAAATCATTATTATTAAAAGGAATTATATTACGGAGATTAAGATTAGGGAGAAATCAATTAATAAAAGGCCTAGGGTCACAGGTTCACCAATAATTAATATTTCGAGATAAAACATGACAATCAAAAATCAATATTGCACCAATAACATGATTAACAAACTCTCGCAATTTATTAATCAACATAGATCTAACAGGCTCTCGCAATTTACTTAGATCTAAGTTCCTGTTGAAAATAGTCTTTAATATCAAATTAACATATGTTCGATTCATCAATTCAATATTGCTATACTTTTACAATCAAATCACATCTGCTCGATTCATAACCTAATTGTAAAGAATTAAAACAATTCAATAAGAAATTATCATGCAATATTAATAATCAATGATAACAAATTATCCCTTCATATTAATTATGGATCCCCAAAACCCTAGAATTAAACTACTCACACATAATTAAATCTAAACTAAACAAAGCAATAAAAGAAGACATGATTTAGATTAAAACAAGAAAATAAACATTAAAGAGAGAAGAAAGAATATCGAAAGAAGGAAAATTGGAATTGCACCAAAAAGGTAAGATCTTGAGTTTAAAAATAAACGTCAACTAAAAAGCTCTCTAGAGTTTGAGTATGAGAGAAAGAATAATGAGAAAAATGTAGTTAAGAGAGATTACAAAAGAGTATTAAAACTAAACTTGACAAATTACCCAAATCGAGCTTCCTAAACCGACTGCAAACGCACACGCCCGATCAGGTCCGCCTTTTTTCATGGATGTTTGTTTCTGGGCAGCCGCCCAATCGAGCCTATGGTCGCCCGATTGGGCCCGGCTTGCTTTGGCCGTGGCTTGATCTTCTCTTCAACATTTACTTGGGCACCAAAATCAAGGCCCAACACTTCTTTTTGGTCCATTGCTCGAACCAATTTCACGAACCGAGCCCTTAATCACCGATACAATCGGTCTTGGGCTATGATCACATCAACAGTCATGATGTGATTTAAGCTCCAATATCTCATAGTGGACGGAAAACCATAGAAAATACCGGCAAATCCGAGAAAATCCTACAAAACAAATGACAACTCTACAAAACACTAGAAACCACACATTAGTACCAAATATAGCTCCGAAGAGCTCAAATATGCATGTAAATGACCGTGGGACAAGGGATAAAATAACATATAAAACATGAATATAGCTAGGCCAAGGCTGCAGCTGCAGCCACAAGCCGCGCCAAGGCAGCAGCTAGCTGTGCCTTGGCCGCAGCCTAACCGACTGCCATTGGTGCCAATTTGGGGTGCCACGTGGCAGCCACCTATTGGGGCTTGAAGGGTGTAGGTGGTCGGCAATAAAGGGAGCCCCTTGGGGATCAAGTTTAGTCCCTTCCCCTCCTTGTGGTCCTTACCTAACTCTTCTCCTGAATGTGCCACTTGTTGATCTATTAGTTGTTTGATAATTAATTTTATTTTTCATTTAAAAATAAATGGATTAATACATTCTCCCACATTGATGGAAGAGAAATTCTCACTCATGATTTTCCCTATAAATACCCAAGTTGGGGTATGGGAAAAATCACTTGAGTAAGGTGTTAGAAAAGGCATCTCCATTGAGAAAACCTTTAAACACTTATAATTACTCGAGTATTAGGTTAGGCTTAGCTAACCTCTAAGTATTGGAACTTGTCGGGGTCGAGTTGCGGGTGGATTTTCGTAGGAGGTCTTCGCGCGAGCGAGACTAAAAGCTTTCCCAAGTAAGAGCTTGGGTTACGAGCGAAGCACGAGTCAAAGGTAATTTATCTTTCCTTAATTCTTGTTAATTAAGTTAATTATGTCTTGTGATTATATTAATTGTGAGTGTGGTCTTGGCTCAGGTTTTCTTCCGAGGTGAGTTGGACTCATCGAAACCCAACAAATAGATGTTTCATTTCCATATCGATCAGGTCAATTATCATACTCCACCATATTCATATTTATATGAGAATTCGTTCATTATTTTAGTTCAAATCCATTAATTTAATTGTTTTTGTCTATCAGTTAAAGAAATCGTGGTTATGATGAGTTAAACCCACAAAAAGCAAGGAAAAAGAAAAATGCCAAGAATAAGAAGGAAACCAAGAAGGCATGAATGAAGTCACCAAGCAACATGAACCAATAATACAAACTTGAATTATTCAAATTTGAATCGAGAAGTTTATTGTGTTTGATAATTATATGTGGAATTGTATTGTATATTAAATATCTAATAGTATGTTCAAGTTTTATTTTGTATTATAATTTTAAAACGTTGTTATATTATGATAAAATAAAATGTAGAATACCAATTAGAGTAATAATCAAATTACTAAAAATCATCAAATTAAAATAATTAGAAAAATTATCATCCACTCCCTTAAAACTAGATGAAATATCTTATTCAAAAAGTAATTTTGTATGAGCCTTCACTTCTCTTTCTCTCAATTTATTCACATCAAGCCTTAAACAATTAATTCTCTTGCATAGCCTTTTCTCTCTAAACATTGTACTGACTTCGATATTGGAGGATCGGACCTTCTTCGACACAACTTCCAAGGCTAGTTTACGTGTGTTTACTGTATAGGAAACCCTCATCCCAGTCATCACTTGGGCCGAGTCCAGTTTTCAACCCACAAGAAAGGTCCATCCGAAGGACCCATTGTTTATACCCGAAACACTTTTTATTCATTTTACATCTTCTTGGTTGTAAAGTAAAACTTCTCGGGGAAGTGGTTGAGATTTGAGCTTTGAAGCAAAACTATTTGAGAAATGTGTATAATGTAATGTGATACAATCACTGGTCAAGATTATATTAAAAGACACACAAACAATGACACGTATACTAAAAGACATAAGGTTGAGCAAAAATATATGAAAGACTGAAAACTTGAAAAATCGATCCGTAACCGTTCCAAAAATTAGGGTACCCGATCCGATAACCATAACATTCGGGTACCCATTCCGATAACTTATTATCGGGTATGGCAATTGGGTATCATTTTAAAATTAACGTTTACCAGATTTGTTCCGATAATCATTTTTTTTCTTTTTTCCCTACTTAGATATATTTATTTAAAATCTAAACTCTTACTTTACTTCATAATTACTTTATAATATCAATGATTAGTAATATTATCAATAATTTGGTCAAAATCATATGATATAGTTGTTAATTAGTGGTAAATTATATCATAATAACTACATACTTAAGTTTAATTATCATTATTGGATATTTTATTGGGTACCCGATAACCGATCCGAAATACCCGAACTTATCGGTTCGGGTTATGGATATCACTTTTAGGGATTTTGGTTATTGGATACCCTTACCGTTAGTACTAACGGTACGGGTACCCATCCCATGCTCACCCCTAAAAAGACACACTAACAATGACATGTGTCATTTTCCGGTGTGTCACTTTTTTTTTTTTTGTAATTGAAAAAGAGTTCCATTTAGAAACAAATTTTATACATAATTAAAAGATCAAATGTATTCTTTAACAATATGTATATATACTATAGACTTAACATAATTAATTTGTGACATACGAAGTGTTATGTACTACTCCGTACTCTACAATTATTACAACAAGGATTTATTTTTTGAGATTTTTTTTTATATATATAATTATGTATTAGAAGTTTGCCATGAAAGATGTGGAAACATATTTTAAGCCGGTTGATGATTGAGAAAAAAAACTGCGTAAGAGAGAGTGAGTTAGTTAATAGTGTGTAAATAAGAAATCTTTTAACGAGTTAAATACATAGTTTGAAAATATTCATTTGATTAACAAGAAAAAATGATATAAATTTGTTGATGAAATATATATAGATATACATATATGTATATTTATTTTTAAATATCTATTTTCCTAATAGGTTATTTCATAATAAATTCATATTATGAAGTAGTAATTTGGATTATAATATAATGTCCACTTGCAAGGTTAAGGAAGTAACATATGCTTTCAAGTTAGGGTTTGTTTTGATTTATTAAACTGAATTGAATGGAGCTGAACGACTGATCTGAATGGAATATTTTATGAGAGAAGAAAATTAGGAACTAAACTGAACTGATTGGAGCTGAACTAAACTGAAAATAAGCTGAAGAGCACATGCCCTTAGTAAAAAGGAGCAAGTATTAGAAAGATGTATCAAAGTTTTAATTAATTAATTAATCACTTTTTTCAAATCTTTATCTTAATTATGAAAGTGCAAAATTGTATTTATATACTCCATTTTATTTCACCCGAATTATCACCCGATCCACCCGATTCATCCATAGATAATGGATCGGATGTGGATGAAGGTAAATTAGGTAGATGAATGGATTGGATGATGAATGGATTGTTAGTGGATGGAGGCGGATGAAGCATCATCCAACCCACCTCCGATCCATTGCCATCCATAATCACGGCACGGATCGACACAATAGCATGTGTGCTTAAGCCGTACATATGCCGATTTTTTGTAATTTCGGGACGACACGAAAAATAAGCATTAGCTCGCGGGCTGATCCTATTCACTTCACCTTTAGAGCAAGTTTAGCCTAAGACTTGGATGTGACATCATTTTTTGTGGTTCCCATTGAAAATGATGTTATCAAATTCTTGTTAAGACTCATTAAGACTTACACAAATTTATCACTTAAGCCTTAAGACTTATATTTGATATATTATATGTAGAAAAGTGTAAAAAAAAAAAGATAAGAAAAATAAAAGTAAAGTGGGTCCCAATCTCAAGTGTTAAGTTGAGTTTTAAAATTTCAAGACTCAACTTGAGACTTGCTTGAGATTTTTGAAGAAAAATGAAAAAAGGTTTAAGCGTAAATCTTAAGACTTAAAATGATAATGTCACCCCAATTCTTGGCTAAACTTGCTCTTAAAAAAATAATACTCGTATTAAGTTAAAATAATTTAAATTTACTAAAAATAAATTTAGTTGAGTTAAAAATCAGTAATAATGGGCTTAACAATCATATTTATCTGTTGACATTTAATTTTCTGAGCTTTTCACTTCTTACGCTGCACACCTCTCTCTATCTCCTCCATTGAAGCGTACTCTGAGTTCTCCATTGAAACACCTTCCGAAAGCATTCTCTATTACGTCGTTGCATTTTTGGAGTAAGCTGTTTGTTTTCTTATTTCTTAATAGTTGAATTTCAATTTCACAATCTAGGGTTTCATTTCACATTATCATTAATTTTATTTTCAGTATAATCAATTTATGCTAGGTAGATTATTGAACCATAGTTTATATAATTACTCAAATTATGAAACCTTATAGTGAGCGATTATATTGCTTGATTTTTGACATGTGCATTTTTGGCTAATTATGTTGTTATTATTAAGCTAAAGAAAATTATATGTGATTTTTCGAGCTCAATTTGATAGTTGAGTCAAATTTTGTTGCCAATGTGTTGCATTTTTCGAGCCTAATCGAACCGAGCAGTTATGAGGCTATTAGAGCTTGAATAGTGGCAGCTCGGCTCGATGGTTTAGCATCCTTTATGAACCTTGAATTGTTAGGCTGGGTACCTCTCTTGCCAAATGCCAATGTATGTCGTATGACCTCGTCTTTCGAAAGTAAATAGAGTTTCTAATTGTCAGGTTTTTTTGTACCTACGGGAAGGACTTGAGTCTGTGTAGTATGCAACTCATGGGTCTATTTCGTTCGAAGATATTGGATTAGTAGAATTACATTTGTCGTTGTGGAAAGATATAAGCTGCATAAAGTGACTGATGGGCTGCACTTGCACTTCCATGGCGTTGCTTTTGGATAATTTGTCACTTTTTGGATTTCAACCCAAAATCGTTTCTCAACATAGAAATCTCAAGGCTCGGTTGGAAGCACATGAATTTGCTTTTACGAATAAAGTTAGTTATTTGCAGCGTGCAGTTGCAACTAAAGCATTTGAGTTGAGACACGTTCTTCCTTCATTAGGACCTGAGTTTTTGTTAGATAGTGGCAATTATGGGAATAATGGCAATAACAATAAGAACAACAACGGCAATGGAAAAAACAATGATAAGAATGATAACGATGGTGATAGTAACCATGAGGAAAGTCATGGTGGGATTCTACGTACCTTTGCATTGTTTTGGACCTATCAGTTGACTTCTTTTCTCAGTGGCCACATATGGGACGATAACCTCAAAATGGGAGAGAGGATATTTTCTTCTCGGCAGTTTCTGCTATGCTTGGTGTCAGTTTTAGGTTTCCTACGCCTGTTCCATTTAGATCCTGCAGGTGCCTTAGGGAGTATTGATAAGGAAGGGGCCATAAAGGAAGAGGAGGTTGTATGGGAGATCAAAGGAAGTCAAAGAAAAAAACTAGTTCCTGATTATTCAAAAGACGAATTTGTAACGGTTCCGTCATCATCTATGATGCCTTCATCAACATCCGGAAAGGGGAATATGGATGATGGAATTCGAAATCTTTCAGCGAGACTTCCTAGTTTATGGTTTCTGTGCAAAGATTTAGTATTTCGTTTGATGCTACCAGAAGGTTTTCCTGACAGCGTGACCAGCGATTATTTGGACTACTCTTTGTGGAGAGGGGTCCAGGGTATTGCTAGTCAGATCAGTGGGGTACTTGCCACACAGGTTAGCCTGAGTAAAACATTTTCTAAATTGCTTGCAAAAATGTTATGTTGATGGGTTCAGACTTCAGAAAATGTTTTTGTTTGTCATGTTCTCTTTTATGATTAGTTTTTGGTTGTCTATCTTTGTAGTCTTTGCTTCTTGCTGTTGGACTGGGAAAGGGGGCGATTCCAACTGCTGCGGCAATAAATTGGGTGCTTAAGGATGGAATTGGATATCTTAGCAAGATCATGCTGTCAAAATATGGGCGACACTTTGATGTTCATCCAAAAGGGTGGAGGTTGTTTGCTGATCTTTTGGAGAATAGTGCTTTTGGGTTGGAGATATTAACACCTGCTTTTCCTCATCTTTTCGTCTTCATTGGTGCTGCTGCTGGAGCTGGACGATCTGCTGCTACCTTGATCCAGGTTAGATAAATCTTTCTGTGCTTTCTAACTTCTGACTTTCTGAGTTAGTTTTGGTCAAAAAGAAGGCTTTAGGACCAAGATAATGCACTCTGGCAGCTAAAAGGGAAAAAAAATAAAATAAAAAAATAAAAAAATCAGACCTTTTAATGAATGCTGGTGGTGGCTACATTAGCCAACTATCCCATGTGCACAAACAATCTCTTACGCATAACACATTCAACATATTTGATGCGTCTGAATGTTGCCTTGAAGTTAAATGTTCTATCACATTTCATACACATATTATAAATATGTATATTATCTTATAAGCACTTGAATGGATAAGGAATTATTGTGTTCAATTTGTTTCAGACCATAGCTTTCCAAGTAGATGTTTGTCCATTAATACTAATTGATTGGTTTTACTGATTACATTTCCTTTTTTAGAGTATGTATCTTGCTTGAATTTTTATCTTTGTTTTTGTGTTGTATAGTGAAAAACTGCTCTTACCCTTCTGCCCTTAATAACATTGGTATCTTACAAACTAAAAAGATGCTGGGATCTGGGTATTGGTAATTTTAGGATATAATGAGTCTGCATTATTGTTAAATTGTTCATTTTAAGCTAATGTTCTATTTTGTTTTTGACACCTATCAGTCTCTGTCTCTTTCTTGCGTCATAGTCTATTTTGAAAATTCTGTTTTCACATTTTCTTCTATGGTGCTTCTATTGAACTTGTCTCACATGTTGACAAGTGTTTGCACGTATTTCTTGTTGAGTTAAATAAAGACTTACCTCTTAGAATTAGTGTTACTCCTTCAAATTCTTTTGGTAATGTAGAGAAATGGGCAGTGAATATGGATTCTGGCTATACTCTGTTCAGTTTTCATCTTTATGACAATTATAATCATTAAAAAACATAAAAATTGTGATGTCTGGAGATCAGACTTTGGACTGACCATTTCATCACTATCAGTCATCACTTTCATCACATTACAAGTTTATACAGAATGTCAATATATTATTTCTTCAATTGGTTTATAGTGATACTCACCGCATCCTTTTAAAAGTTCAATCTGTTCATTATGTGCTAACACTTGATATTATTGTTCTGTAGGCTGCCACAAGAAGCTGTTTCTATGCAGGCTTTGCTGCAAAGAGAAATTTTGCAGAGGTAGATCTGGGTTTTACATGTAATTAATTGTCAAATTAGAGGAGTCTCCTCTTTCCTTTAGCTACTAGGATTATATTACGACATTATGTAATTTTTCTAAATGGATTATATCAGGTAATTGCAAAGGGTGAAGCACAAGGAATGGTGAGCAAGTCAATTGGCATCATGCTAGGGATAGCTTTAGCTAATTGCATAGGCTCCTCTACACCACTTGCCCTTGCTTGTTTTGGTATAATAACTTGCATTCACATGTACTGCAATCTGAAGTCTTATCAATGCATTCAGCTGAGGACTTTGAATCCATATCGAGCAAGTACTTCTTTTCCCTAGAAGTAATCATTTTTCAAGTTAGAATCACAAAAACTATCTGCAAAGAATATACTTTGAAAATGATGTGTCAACAATTTTGTCTTAAGGCCACATTTTTTTTACTGATTCTTATATTTGGAGGTCTCAGCTAATAACTAGGGGCCACATTCTCTTTTAAGCTTTAGTCTACTTGGGGATAATCTCATACTAAGTATTAATTATGGTAATAGTCTAATTACTTGCTGAAATATGTTGTTACAGGCTTAGTGTTCAGTGAATATTTGTTGAGTGGCCAGGTGCCTTCTGTGAATGACGTCAATGCTGAGGAACCTCTTTTTCCAGCATTACCAAATCTGAATTTGGGGCCGGCTGATAAAGTGAGTTTCTTTTTGATTCTCATATCTGATTTTCTGCATGAAACATGGCTTGTACAGGACACTATATGGGGTTAACTTCCCATCCTTTTCCTTGTCCCCTAATTATAAAAATATGCAATAGTGTGCTACGCATTGTTGGTTTTCTAAATAGAATGAACAATATTTTAGAGTTGATCCCCATATTCGAGTAATCCTAAGTTATCCAAATGTACATAGCCTTATCCTTTCCATTTGAGGACTGTTAGAAGTTGTTTCCGAGAGATGTAACTGTGCAAGCATTGTGTATTTGACAAAGGGAAAATGTCGAAAGAAATTATTCATTTATCTTTTGAAAATTTGCTAGAAATCACCTTTGAGTTGTCACATTCAGTCTCCATGACATTACAAGGAAAAACATATATTTAAGGTATTAGGCGTGTTTCCACACTGAGGATAGGATGATTGTAGCCTTCATATCTTGTATTCCGTTGGATTGCTGACTAGTGGCTTATTGAAATTTTGATGGTAACATAAGATCTTTTTGTTATACAAAATCTTTTATGTTCTGCAAAAACATGGCATTGTTTGTTATGAACTTATTCCTAATTATTCAAATGTATCTTTATGTTTTCAGCCAAATTCTTCAAATCTGTCAATTGAAGCCAAGAGCGCCGCTGCAGAAATTGAGAAGCGGCTCGAGCTAGGATCCACATTAAGTGATGTAATTCAGAGAAGAGAGGATGTAGTTGCACTTCTTGATCTCTATAGAAATGAAGGCTACATCTTAGCCGAGCACAAGGGAAAGTTTTGTGTAAGTAACTCTTGTATGTATTTGTTAAAAAGTGATAAACTTGACATTTACTACAAATAGCTAATTAAATCTTATTCATGAATAATGAAATTAGGAATGCTATTATTATGAGAGAAAGAGAGAATGTTAAGGAGAAACATTCATTTATTAGCATACACAATATTATATAAACACAATATGTACTCATTTTGAATTAAGAAAAAAAGAAATAGAAAAGTCAGACACATTTTATAAGAGATATAAGATTTATTATTTAGTGCATTTGTTTTCCTCTCTATATTATTGTCTCAGATATATGAGCCAGGTTATATATAAAACATGGCAACAAAAAATAATGTCGTAGCTTTTCAATACCCAAAACTCACAAAAGAAAATTATGATAAGTGGTCTCTACGAATGAAAACTATTCTTAGCGCACAAGGACTTTGGGAGATTGTTGAAAAAGGTTTTATTCAACCAGAAGATGACTCAAAATTAAATGAGGCAGATAAACAAGGTTTGGAAACCGAGAAGAAAAAGGATCAAAATGCACTTACGGTCATCCATCAAGGATTAGATGATGATATGTTTGAGAAAGTTGCTAATGCAACCAACTCCAAACAAGCATGGAATACTCTTCAAAATTCATTTGAAGGAGTAAGTAGAGTAAAGAAGGTTCGACTTCAAACTCTAAGAGGAGAGTTTGAACACCTTGAGATGTGATTATTTTGGAAGAGTTTTATACATTGTGAATCAAATGAAGAGGCTTGGTGAGTCAATGCCACATTCTCGTGTAGTTAAAAAAAATACTACGCTCTCTTAATTCCGATTTCAACCATGTAGTAGTTGCTATCGAAGAGGCCAATAAGGACTTGGATTCCATGACGATTGATGAACTAAATGGGTCTCTTAGAGCCTATGAACAAAGAATAGTTAAAAAAGGTAAAAAGGAAGATGAGCAACAAGTGTTGCAAGCTAAAATCTCTTTTAATAATAAAGGAGACACACGTGATAAACAAAGATTTCAATCACGTGGTAGAGGTGGTTCACGAGGACGTGGACGTGGCAATGGACGTGGCCAAGGAAGAGGGATAGAAGACCAAAACACCAATAATTATTTTAGAGGTGAAACTTCAGGTCGAGGCCGAGGAAGAGGTAGAGGAACGAACCAGTTTCAAAGAAGCAGTAACAAAGCTAATATTCAATGTTACAATTGTGATAAATATGGCCATTTTGCATGGGAATGTTATTCAAAAAAGGTGCAAGAAGAAACAAATCTTGTTGAAGATAAAGAAGATGCAGAAGATTCAACCATGCTATTAGCCCTAAAAATAGAAGACAAGAGAGATGAAAATTGCACATGGTATCTTGTCAATGGAGCAAGTAATCATATGACAGGAGACAAAAATAAATTTGTTGATCTAGATACAATTGTGACAGGGAATGTTACTTTTGGCGATGGCTCAAAAGTAAAGATTGAAGGGAAAGGTACAATAATGATTGAAATAAAGGATTCTAGTCACAAATTTATTCCGGATGTTTATTATATTCCTAACTTAAGAAGTAATATCTTAAGTGTGGGTCAACTCTTAGAGGTCAATGGATGTAAAATAATAATGGAGGGACAAAAGTTGTGGCTACGTGATAGATACTCTAAGCTTATAGCCATAGTCTCTATGACAAAGAACAGAATGTTCTTGATAAACTTACAAACAATTGGACCTATGTGTTTGAAGACGTGTATTGAAGATCCATCTTGGAAGTGGCATATGAGATTTGGTCACCTTAATTTTGAAGGACTAAAGGAACTAGGTCACAAGAAAATGGTACAAGGATTACCCCATGTTGATCATCCGAATCAACTTTGTGAAGCATGTTTGTTGGCAAACATTCAAGGAAGCCCTTTCCAAAACAAACTAATTTAAGAGCTCAAAAGCCACTCGAGTTAGTGCATTTAGATTTATGTGGACCTATCAAACCCCCATCACTCGGTAATAGTTCATACTTTATGCTTTTCATTAATGATTATAGCCGGAAGACATGGGCTTATATCTTAAAAAATAAATCTGAAGCTTTTGAAACTTTCAAGAAGTTCAAAGCATTAGTAGAGAAAGAGAGTAGTTATGAAATAAAAGCATTAAGGACTGACAGAGGTGGTGAATTCACATCTAATGAATTCAACAAATATTGTGAAGACCAAGGAATTCGCCGACCGCTTACTATTCCTAGAACACCACAACAAAATGGGGTTGCCGAAAGGAAGAATAGAACCATTCTCAACATGACAAGATCCATGTTGAAAAATAAGAAGATGCCAAAAGAATTTTGGGCAGAAGCAGTTGCATGTGCAGTTTATTTGTCTAATCGTTCACCAACAAAGAGTTTGAAGAATGTGACACCTCAAGAAGCTTGGAGTGGATGGAAGCCAAGTGTATCGCATCTTCGAGTATTTGGTTCAGTTGCTTATGCACAAGTTCCTAAGCAACTAAGGTCTAAACTTGATGATCGGAGTGAAAAACTTCTTTTCATTGGATATGATGAAAAGTCTAAGGGTTATAAGCTGTTTAATCCAAACACCAACAAGTCAGTAATTAGTAGAGATGTAGAGTTTGATGAAGAGGCAACATGGGATTGGAGCGTAGAAGAGGAAGAATCTTACAACTTTCTTCCTTATTTTGAAGAAGAAAATTCAACACAACATGTTTCAGAGACTGCTCCCACTACTCCACCACCATCTCCTCAAATGTTATCACCTTCATTACATTCAAATGGAGATTCATCAAATTCAAGTGAAGGACCAAAGAAATATAGAAGTATTTCCGATCTATATGAAACGACAGAAAGGTTAGAAGAAAATACTTCTTTATTTTGCTTATTCAGTGATATTGAACCAATGAGCTTTAATGAAGCAACGAAACAAAAGGAATGGATTCATGCCATGAATGAAGAAATACAAGCCATTCAAAAGAATGAAACATGGGAATTGACACCACTCCCAAAAGGAAAGAAGGCGATAGGAGTCAAATGGGCATTCAAAATCAAGAGGAATGTGATGTTAAAAGATACAAAGCAAGACTAGTTGCTAAAGGATACAAGCAAAAGCAGGTAATAGACTATGAAGAGGTATTTGCCCCAGTTGCCCGATTAGAGACAGTGAGGTTGTTAATCTCAATAGCAGCACAATTTCAGTGGAAGATACATCAAATGGACGTAAAATCTGCTTTTCTAAATGGATTTCTAGAAGAAGAAGTGTACATTGAACAACCAGAAGGTTACGCTATCAAGGGACAAAAGAATAAAGTACTTAGATTGGAAAAGGCATTATATGGGTTGAAGCAAGCACTTCGAGCATGAAATAGTAGGCTCGATAAATACTTGCAAGAAAATGGATTTTCAAAGTGCATTCATGAGTATGCACTTTATGTTAAGAGGAAAAACAACGATGTGTTCTATGTTTGCATCTATGTAGATGAACTAATTTTCACAGGAAGTAGTATAGAAATGTTTGATGATTTTAAGAAAAGAATGACACGTGAATTTGAGATGACGGATATGGGACTCATGTCCTATTATCTAGGAATTGAAGTAACTCAGAGTGATGAAGGAATTTTTATCTCACAGGAAGCTTATACAAAAGGAGTATTGAAGAAATTCAATATGTTGAATGTTAATCCAGTGAACACACCAATGGAATGTGGGTTGAAATTGTCGAAGAATGATCCAAATGGAGAAAAGGTGAATCCAACCTTTATTTAAAAGTTTAGTAGGAAGTTTACGATACTTGACATGTACTCGCCCAGACATCTTATTTGCTGTTGGACTAGAAGTCGCTTTATGGAAAATCCATCTAGGTCTCATCTAAAAGTGGCAAAGAGAATTCTTCGATACTTAAAAGGTACATTAGACCATGGGTTATTATACTCTACTTCACATGAATTTAAGCTTATGGGATATTGTGATAGTGATTTTGCTGGAGATATTGATGATCGTAGAAGTACAACAGGCTTTGTGTTTGTACTCGGAAACAATGTTGTTTCATGGAGTTCAAAGAAACAACCAATTGTTACACTATCTACATGTGAATCAGAATACATTGCTACTACTTCGTGTGCATGTCATTCGATATGGTTAAGGAGATTATTGAAGGAACTCCAACTGCCACAAAAGGAACCCACCGAGATCATGACTGATAACAAGTCAGCTCTTGCTTTGGCGAAAAATCCTGTCTTTCATGACCGAAGCAAACATAATTACATATTGACACGAGGTTTCATTTCATCCGACAATGCATCGAACAGAAAGAAATCGAATTGAAGTTTGTAAAGTCTTTGGATCAAATTGCTGATATCTTTACGAAGCCATTGAAATTTGAAGATTTTAATAGGATGCAAAAGTTAATTGGTATTGTGAGAAAGTCAAGTTTAAGGGGGAGTGTTAAAAAGTGATAAACTTGACATTTACTACAAATAGCTAATTAAATCTTATTCATGAATAATAAAATTAGGAATGCTATTATTATGAGAGAAAGAGAGAATGTTAAGGAGAAACATTCATTTATTAGCATACACAATATTATATAAACGCAATATGTACTCATTTTGAATTAAGAAAAAAAAAAATAGAAAAGTCAGACACACATTTTATAAGAGATATAAGAGTTATTATGTAGTGCATTTGTTTTCCTCTCTGTATTATTGTCTCAGATATATTTGAGTGTCCACCATGCTTCCAACAGTATTGATTTATATACAACACATTGAAACTGAGTTCTTCAGAACCCCCCCCCCCTCCTTTTTGCTTGTGTATTCAAGTAGCCTTTGTTGAATGTGCACAGGATGAACTCTTTTCTTGTTAGGTTTAAGAGTTCAGAAGTTGCAGCCTTCAACTTGACAGCTTCTTGTAGATAGAACTGCTCTGTCTGATCTATTCTGATTTGAATGTTTTATGTTGCATTTACCTTATTACTTATAATTATACTGATGCTCTGCCTTTAGCCTCTAGCAAAAAATATTTCATACAAAAAAACTTTTCTTTAACACTCTTGAAAGTGAAAGATGGTGGGAAAAATGATGAACATTAAAGGGGTTAGGAGTGTAAAGTAATAAGTTTAAGGTATGTTCCGTTAACTTGATGTGAAATTATCAAATGAGATGTCATTAGATTTGCAATAACCACGTTCAGAAAAATCTACAGCACATTATGTTCAGAAAAATGATGTGTACTTTCAAAATTTGAAATTTTCATAAATATTTTGATTATGGTATTAAAAATAATTAGCAATAACCACGTGCAGATAAAAATATATGGTCTGACTTGAACATTTCTGAAATAACTCATACGCAATTATTTGCTTTGATAAATTGAACGGTGAACATAGCCTTAGTTGCTGAATGAAGATTAGGGTGGTGTAAGGAGAGGGGTGAGCTGATGAAATTTTATATGATTTGTTTGCTTTCTCATAAGTGTAGTTTAATCAAGACTTGAAGATAGGTGTCTTTAAGCTGAAAAGAATACAGCAGAAATTTGGGAACCAGAGTAATCATTGACTTTCTTTGTTCCTCACTAAGATAGTAAATTATTATGAGCCATGATCTAAAATTTTGTTGCCAACCCCAAGTCAATATAAGTACTACTAGAATTGTTTAACCTCCTTGTTACTCAATTTTCGGCATTCCCATGTTCTATTAATAGTTCCTTAAAAAATCTACAGAGGACTTAACTTGATAAAGTTGTACGTTTAGTGTTCTGTCTTTTTATCATAGTCTCAATTTGTTTTATTGCTTCTTACATATTAATTTGGACTTGATTGGTGCAGGTTATACTCAAAGAAAGTGCTTCACCGCAAGACATGCTAAGATCTGTGTACCAGGTCAACTTCCTTTATTGGCTTGAAACCAATGCTGGAATACCATCGAAAAATGCTTCTGACGACTGTAGACCTGGTGGGAAGTTACAGATATCTCTTGATTATGTGCAGAGGGAATTTGACCATGCAAAGCATGATAGTGAATTAGCAGGTTGGGTCACTGATGGTCTTATTGCTAGGCCTTTGATTCATAGGATTTGTCTCAACAGTAATGTCTCTACTGGACCTATAGCTGATGCCAGCATAAGTTCTTGACAGCTCTAACTGTGCAATGAACCAAGAGAATAAAGGGGGCCTAGCTGACAGATACAGTAGTGATTTCATGATTTGCATTTTGAGCTATCAAACGTTTGGCTACTAAACATCTGTTTTGGCGTGCTTCTCTGAGTTCAGAAGCTTTTGCTGATAATGCCAAGTGTTAAAGAAGCTTGGCATCCGAGTAGTAGCTTAGCCGTATAAAACTGAGAAAATGGTAGGCAGTGGCTGTTGAAAATTTGTATTGCGTAATGTAAGTTTTGTAACCTCATCTGCAAATTTTCCATTCTTTGCTGATACGAATTACTAGTACATCCTTTAGTCTAGTTCTTCACAATTTGATCATCTACATTTGTTCTACTTTTTTGTTAATGTTTTTTGTTTTTTGATTAGTCATTACCTATGTTACTTCGACACCGTGATGTACGCTGGGTGTCGGATCTTCTGATACTTCAACACGATATGACACCCTATATAATGACACTATACAAGTACAAGATTTATAAAATCTGGAGTGTCAAAATATCCGACGTGTCAGACTGACCCCAAATCCGAGTCTATGCCAACATAGTACATTACTGTCAGTTGTGCAAAAGCTATTACCCCCTCTCTTTAAATTGCACCATAGACCCACTTTTGGTGAGAGTTTTTGGAACAAATGCTGCCAAAAATAAGGGACAGGGAGTATGAATTTACCAAGCCAATAGTCCTCTGATGTATATGAACTGAACCTTGGGTCATTTCTGTTTCTTATGAATCAGGATACTGATGCATATAGAATCACGTTTGCATAGCATATATTAAAGTATAAAACCTCTCAGAAAGGACTTTTTTGTCGTTACAAAGAGAATAATATAATTGGCTACAACAAATGATCTTGAACATAAGTAATTATGCAAATTGAAAATCTCTATTTCAATGCGAAGCTTGCTCCAAATTCCATGTGAAAAAAGCCAAATCTAGTGATAGATTTGGCCAATATAGCTAGCATATATACAACCATCAGCGTGCTGTCTCTTTGAAACATATTTTCCATAACGCTATCTGCAGAATTCGTGTGCCCTGGATCTTGATATAGACAATATCAACCACAGTTCCTGGCGATAGTTCCTTCTGGAACCATTATGCTTGCTGTACATTTGTATAGCTCTTCACCTGTATCATGAGCAATTAGTTGCACTGGTAGAAGCAAGTAATCTGGCATAATAAAAGTTCACATCAAACACAGACAATTTTCAGCTGGCATAGCATAACAACATAATGGACTATAAAATCCCCTTGATATCATATCTGAGTAAAACAATAAAATTCTGTAATCAGATTTTAAGTCTAAAAAAATGATGTTTCAACTAAAAACTAAGGAACACTCAATCATCTTCCCTTGACTTTTCTAACTCGATCTGCAACATGTGCCCAGCACATTTTGTGAAGGCAGCACACTTAAAAGGTTCTAGGCGTTAGACACTTATTTCTGAGGCAAAAACATCTACAGGTTCATTTGAGAAATGTTTAGTATTTTACATAGTTAAAAGGCAAGTCTGTGATTATGACTCCCTAGGCCATTCCGATGGTACCATTCAAACTGGATCCAAGATAACTAAACAAACAAGATAGGGTTTGTAGCTAAACACACAAGATCCGAAATAAAAGCAATTTACAATACAGATCTAAAAAAGAATTTAATTTTTTATTGCTCGGTCTTTTGAAATATGGTCACCTTTCCTTCTGGAATTTTCCCTCACTCCCACCACAACATCCACTTACTAGACGAAGTTTAAACATCCAGGCTTCCCAATTAATCCTTGCCTTCTCTAATAAGCGACTGATTTGACAAAACTAGATCAAAACTATACGTATCAAAATTCAGCGCTTTTGGCATGGCACATAATAACTGAAAGGGATGCCACTTGTTGAACTAACAAGCTGGACATTTCACTAGGACGAAGAGAGTATATATTTGCAACACATGTTTTGGAAGAAGATAATGGCCAAAGCTCATCATAAAAAAAGGAGACTTCCAGAACTTTAAAACGAAGGGAGTTTATTTTCTACTTTCAAGGGTCAGAGTGGGTACAGTAACTTAAATAGTATGAAGTATTAGACATGAAACTAACATGAATTGACAAAGAAATACTCAGGCAAGATTATGATTGTATCTGCTTTAATAGAGTTCAATGAAACTGTTAATGCAGTCTGAGATCAATATCTTGAGGTAAAGGACTATGCTGCATAGATAATGTTTTGTGACTTTTGTCTGAAGCAGTAAATAACATCAGCTGCTGTTGAACAAGAATAACACATTATCTTCATTTTTATGTTGGTAGCAATGCATAAATGGAATTGATGGAAATGTGAACAAAAAGAGATACCATAATTGCAATGGCCACAAAAATTGGAAATAAGACAGTTAAGGATAAGCTCCATGTTTTGCATATTACCTAATCCAAAACCTTGTATAAAGAAGATGATGACCCAGCAAAAATGAGTCCTTGCTGGTGCATCTTGCTGAGTGAAGAATCTTTGTGAATTAGAGGTTCAGAAGGTATACCCGCAGCAGCTTGCTTTTCTTTGTAGGATGCCCAGGTGACCATGTATAAGCCAGCAATAATTAAAGAGCCTCCTAGCACACTGCAGAGAATCTCCGCCATTTAAGGTACACTTAGTGCTTAAATTTTATTCAGGACAATAGACACTAATAACTTATAAAAATGTAGCAAATAAATTTTAACATATAGAAAGCAAAATATAGCAGTAACCATGAAAGTCGATATCTTTTATTTCTGCCAAACCATACCTTCCCAGGTATAGGGTGCTTCCTAGAAAGATAAGTGACAAAAAGGTAGATGCTGCAGGTTGAAGTGGATTGTAAAGAGCGACCAATGCAGGCCCCAATATTTTATTGGACCATGTGATAAGTCCATAGTTGAGGGCAGATGCAATGATTCCCTGAAAAGATAAAGTGACATTCAATGTTTATATTGCAGATAAGATAAATACTTGTATAAAACAATGAAACAGCAATCTGCAGATGCCAAAATAATAATATACACCATCGAAAAGCACACACTGACACTCACCTCTTCCCTGATTTTAAATATTAATCGAATTACATTTATTAGCGCATCATATATCTGAATGAATCAAAGCAGCCTAATTTCTTCATTCTTTTGGATTGGTTAGAAGCAAACCTATCAGGAGCCCTACCGACATTAGATCAGGTCAATTCAGATTCATGTTCGGGTTAGCTCTAACCAGGTTAACTTACCTACAACCTGATCAATACGCAGGTTCAATTTTTAAACCCCAACCTAATCTGTCTTTCTTTTTTTGTTCCTACGTCGGGTTCGGGTTGACCTATTTAACTTGAATTTTAATTTTTTTTTTTTTTTTTTTATGTATTATTAATGGATCAACTTTTTTTTTTTTTTTGAATAGTATTAATGGGGTATTAATGGATCAACCTGAACCCTTTTGACCTACCATTTTCGTATTGAGCTAAACTCATGGAGTAGCGGGGCCGATGAAGGTGGTAAAAAAAAAGCAAAAGGACTAAAAAGCCTCTATTGAATAAATGAAGATAGAAAGAAAGGCTGTAAAAAGGGTAGCCGCCAGTCGGTGATAAACCTAAGATTAGCCAAAAGGACACTTGTTTGGTTTCCCCTTAGTTTGGGTCATAAATTTGGGTTTGGGTAGAACCAACTTGATTCTAAATCATTTATTATTTTGGGTCCTAACCTAACCCATATGATTTCAGGTTGAGTAAATCCATTTAATAGATCAGATCAAACACTCAACCCAAAACCACTATATTTAGGTCGATTTCGGGTTAAAATAATAAGTAGGGTCAGCTTTTGCCAGCCCTAAGCATTGAGGAGGATGAAGATTCCAAATATCGTAAGCAGGCTAGAACACGAACACAATTCACAGATGCCTTAACACTTTGGCTAGAGAATAATCCACATTCCCACAAATTTAAACTCTTTCCATATTCCTACTTCCTATATAAAAGCCTCATATCTCCTAGGCAATGGTATTTTTAAGAGAAATTGTAACAGAGGTATTGTTTATTAAAGCAGAGTTAAATAAGAAGGTAATGGAAATAGTTGATTGTTTCTAAGGATAGTGAGATGAATTAATGGAGGGGTTTTGTTAGTTTGCGAGTAAAAATGAAGTAGATAATGAACCCACCCAAATGAGAGAAATAGAGCTCTTCTTTAAGGACAAGGTTTATGGGATATATAGCTTTAATTTAGGGACAAAGGGAGTCAATGGGAATTCTGATGAGATGTGTGTGAATCACCACGGTTATAGCAACTGCTATATACAAAGTTAGAATAGTGATGAAGAGTTATGAATTTGGAGTTTAATTTTGGATTTGATGGCAACAGGAATCGACTAGCTAAGATACCCGAGTCAATGAGAAAATTATATGTACTTGTAATATAGTTATAGACCACTAATGTACCTCTAATATAATAGTAATGTATCTAAAAAGGACCTTGTGATTACAATTGTAATTCATGTAGTCACACATACACATTAAGTACCGAAGTAGAATGTGATCTTGACGCTTTGTCGCTAACTAAGGTTGACATCAAAAAAAGGGTAAAAGAAAACTTACAGCATAGAAAACAGCAAACAGTTCATCATGGTTCATACTCCAGCTTGTCGGGTCATTGGCCATAAAAAACGAAGAAGTAACGATAAGAAGAGCACCAAAAAAATATGAATATGCTGTCACTGAGAGGCTTGCTGGGTATTTCTTCAGAACTGGAGCCTGCAAAATAAGTTACAAAGATAAGTGTTTAATCCATAAGACAAGCTACAATCCTGAATTTTTATTTCCACTTTTATTTACAATCATATGCAAAACTCAGCAAGCACTAGATAAACATGTCACTTCATGACCTTGAGGTCACAAGTTCAACCTTCAATATCCCAAACACACAATAATCTCACCTCCCTTATGCTTTAGAAGAAGTTTTAGCATTTTGTTATTCTAATAGAATTATGCAGAAAATGACTGTATTATAAGCACTTTGTTATTCTAATAGTATAAGTTTAATACGTCCTTCATTATCTTTTTTACTTTAGTTAGACTTACACGATGACCAAAGCATAAATTTGACTGTAAATATCTGTAATTTGTTTTTAATAATAAAAATTGATATTTTTGAAGTTATATCGGGATGAATCTACAAGGATCCACGTGATTATTATTTTCCATAAGATTAAATCACAAAATATTGTCAAAATAATTATGCGAGTAATGTTAAAGAACAAATAGTATGAGTAAAAAAGAATGGAGGAAATTACTCATATAACAATTTTATACTTGGCTAAATTATATTAAAATGTACTACCTTGTTTGCAAAAAGTGGTAACACTTCTTTCTCATGGTCTTCAATGCGCACTTTTGACCATTTATATTTTTAATCATGAATAGTAAAAGTTATAAATAGTTAAAAATATGAATTGCATCGACATGAATCTAACAATATCCCACCAAAAACATTTTCATATACTTCGACCTTTTTTTTATACTTGCAACATTTCAATAGTGTATACTATTCACATACACAGCTACAATTACAATTCAAGATTTATACTTAAGAGATACATAGTCATATGGAATCTTGTTACATTTGTCTCAATGTGTACTTTATTAAAATTTAATCCTTAAAACTTTTACAAATACATAATTAAAAAAAAAAACAGTTGAAGTCATGTATTGGCAAACATGAAAAATAGAAATCTTGTAAGAGTTGAAACTAAATAAAAACATAAGAAGTACTAACTAATTAGTAAACAAAAAAATATAGTCAAAGTTTACAAATTTTGACCTACAATAAGAAGCATTACAAATTTTAAAAATCAAAAGGATTATAGAATATTAAATACTACCTCTGTTTTCCTAAGTCTTACTCACTTTCCGTTTTCATCCGTTTTTCTAAGTGTTACCCACTTTTACTTTATTCCTTTTATGACAACTTTTTATTCATTTTTTCACTACAGCCCTACTTTGTGTGGCCCAATTGTATTTAATAATTTTTTTTACTCTCTACCTCCCTCCTCTTTAATACAATAGAACCCACATGAATGGTTCCCACTTTGACTTTTCCTGGGTTTACGTAGCTACAGTAAGTAACTGAGTAAGACTCGGCAAAATGGAGGTAGTATGTTGTACAGAGTATATTTCAGATTTTCAGATATCTTAGCATATCTGTAAAGCATTAATAAAGAAAATTCCAAAAACAGCATGAAAATTTCAGAATTGACATATGCTTTCTTCTAAGAGACTAAAAAGAAAATTTAAGGTAGCCCTGCTCAAATTAAGCCCAAGCAGGCTCCCCGGAGCTGGCTAGCGGCATAACACCACTGTGCCATGCCTAGCCAACCCCCCGTCCCTTCCTTAGTCTCTAAGTCTCCACTAAAGCAGAGCATGACAGTATGAGTGAAGTTAGATTTACTCCAGGTTTGCAGGAGACTTCTGATTTGCACTACCCAATATCACCTTCAATATCTCAAACCTAAATCGTCTGGTCGATGCAGCTACAAATCAATGTATTAATGTCATTGCATTAATTATGGTTTAATAACAGATTTTTCGAGTTAGCAGGAGGCAATGAACTAGTTAGAAATTAAAAAAAAAAAAAAAAGTAGGCACTGGTGGCATCTTGTAGAAGCTGCCAAAGCAAAAAAAAGGAAGCAGCATCAGTTTTTTAAAGGGAAGAAAGTGACTATGCCTTTCCCCTCTGGGCCCTTTCCCCAACCCCCAACCTTCTTCTCCTCAAAACTTCTCTGACTACTGAAAAGCAACAGTGGAAGTTACAAGAATTTGGTAGGAATGAGCACTGAGATTAAACAGACAACTTTTGGTAATTGTTTCTTCAATAAACTAAATTTGAAACTTATCTTCTAGTTCAGAACTAATATTGTACATTCCCTTATAACTGGTTATCTTTCTCTATCTATGTTTATTTATTTATTTATTTTTAGTACAAAGAAAAAGAGAAGGGGAAAAAAACCCCTCAATATTCAGCCTCGTTAGAAGTATGAGAGAAGTTATGTCCCTATAATGATCATAGCTCTTTTGCTGCAATCATAATCATGACAAGACTGAAGCTCCATGCACCTCATGCCCATTAATTTCTTTCATAACAGAAAAGTCAAATCAAATGGTCTAACTTCTCAACTAGAGAAGTTCCTAGTCCCAACCTACTACTTTGAAAAATATGTATGTATGTATCATTAATCCCAACCTGCTACTTCCTAGATACTCAATAGTTTAGCAGTATCATAATTTACTTCAAAGAATTATAAACGCAGTAATACCTGAATTGCAAGATAAGTTGCCATGCACACACAGTTCCCAATAAGACAAAGTACACCAAGGTGAAATGTGTCAAACCCAAATTCCATGGTCCTAGCAACAAGCCATCCAACTGGTTCTGGCTGTCCTTTGGCACTGATTTCACCCTGCAGTTCCATCTCTTCTTTTTGTCCAAGTATAGACGGCCCTTTATATACAACCATCAAAACAGCACCAGAAACACACAAAAATGTGCCTGCAACCTTCATTTTCCCTTCAGCTCTATATAAATTCACAGTTTCTGTGCTGCATGGAAAAGATTAATATAAGCAAATTAAAAAGTAACAGCAAAGAATAGATAAAAGATACAAAATTAACCAAATTTGATCAAACTGACCCCATTATCGTGGCCAAGAGGAAAGTAAATACAGGAATAGAAGGTTGTATAGCTGCAGCATATGTTGGATTTGTGTACTTCAGACCAATAAGAAACAGAAGTTGGTTTCCAAAAATCCTAGTCAAGTAATTAACATAGCACCTCAGATAATAATTAAGAGATTGCTCAACAACAAAACCAGCAATATCTTCTCACATACCCGGTAAGCCCAAGGAAGAAAAATGCAACGAGAAGATTTTTTGTAATTGGTGGTCGAACTCGCCTGCAGAAATCAAATACAAAACATCAGATTCTTTTAAGGACCAAAGACATCAGGAAACTGAGGATTAATTAGCCTTTTGTTTCATTTCATTTGTTGCAAAAGAAGAAAATCGAGCCCTCTTTTTTCATATGCATCCTGACTGCTACTAGATAAATTTAAGTATCAATGTCATACAAGTATCCTCAGGTATAAACAGTGTAATCATATATTCTTATTGAACTAGTTCAAACTAAAACAACTCACATCTAGAACGAAAGATATGTTTGAATGAGTTCTATCTCAAACGACCGACCTACATTGAGAAAGAGAATACAAATGTTCATTTTTGGAGATTAAAAACCTATGTATAACAATGTGTTCTATAAGATGTTTTTTTAAAAAAAAAATGCAAAGCAACAAAATTTTCAAGGGATAAAAAGACTTATTGATTATTTCCCTCAAAAAGGGGCAAATTAAGTGATTTAGGGTATAGGGTAACAGGGTTTAGGCAATTGCCAAATGGGGTTTTGGTGAAATGTTAACCGTACACGTATGGGTTACTAAGGACTTAAGGAGTCACAATGCCCATTTAAGTCGCTTCCAAAGAAATAAAAAAAGTTTATGAAGTCTATTGTAATGATAATATAGGTTGAAGGTTCTATGAAGAAAATTAACAGAATAAAAAAAAAAACTTCAAGTCATCAAACTTCTTTTCACATCAAAACAGATGTGTCCCCAATTACCTCCTACATTTCACTCTCTGAATTTTCATTTTCCTTTCGAACTTTTTACAATATAACTCTTCTCCAAGACTCTGACCATTAAACGAAGATCAAATACAATTTTCTATTATTTTCCAAAATCTAAAAAAGAAGTAAGTGGTTCAAGGCTTCTATAATTATAAGATAAACAACAAAATTCAATTTTCTAATTGATGATCTGCATGTACAATATAAAGAAGAATAAAAGCATAAGTGGCTAAAGTTACTAAATTATCCTGCTTCATTGGGAGTGATTCAAGTCCTTTCTAGAATTTTAGAAATCAGTCCCTATCAATTCTGGGTCCAATTCCTAAAATTTTGACCGGATGCGTAGTTTGCTTACCCCAACTTCTAGTTGAGTCTAGGTAAAATAGACAAAATCATTGTTTACAAATGTTCCTCATACAAATTCTTGTTCAAATAAGGAAAAACTATAAAGATAACTTCTTTATCTAGTTTACAATCACAAAGAAAAAGTGACATTAATTGGGTATTACACATGTACTACCTCAACAATCAGTTGGGTACCAATCACAAATGTACTACCTCAAGTCCTTAACTATCAGTTGGGTACCAATCACAATTGTACTACTTCAAGTCCTCAACAATCAGTTGGGTACCAATCACAAATGTACTACCTCGAGTCCTCAACAATCAGTTGGGTACCAAATTGGTCTCAGTTGGGTACCAAATTGCCGAAATTGGTTTGTAGAATTTTTAAGCACACACTAATAGCAACTTCTGCAATTCACTCAAATATGCTTCTCTTAAAGCCTTTTTCTCCATTCAATCTTGGCCGGCCAATACCATCTTATTAAGCATGCAGTCATTAAATATATATACTCATGTTAGTGCACACTGCACAATATGAGCAGGGAACTGAAACAAAATAACATTACTGATTTGTAATAAAGATTTGCAGTTACCTAGTTCCAATCTATACTTGTTCCAAATGTCCCCAGTGAAATATTAATACGCAGGCACTATAATGCTGTAATTGTCTTCTCAATGCTTCAGTAATCTAACATCAAAATTTTCTTGGGCTCGTAAAGTTGTAAGTGGCTAAAGTCGCTAAATTCTCCTGTTTCATTGGGAGCGATCCGAGTCCTTTCTAGTACTTTCCAAATTGAACAAAAATTCTGTTTCCTTCAATCAACCAAATGAATTATATTCATTCCCTTCTTCCATTTTAGCCAATAAAAACAATTCCCCTTTACTAATCCACAATTTTAAAAAGCTCCATAAATTCCCAAATCTTTATACCTTAAACAGTACAAACATTCAGATTCCCCGTGTCCTCTAATAAAGCCTCAATATTCGTGGTGTATAATATTTCAACTATCGGGATCCAAATTTTCTAATATATCAAAATTTCCACTAATTCATACTCAACAGAAGCAACATTTACACATCCATTTCTCAAACCAATAATCAAAACCCCAAATCATATAGCTTAAACTATACTAAAATTCATACTCGCTCCGTCCTCAAATAATCATCCTCCACACTATTCCAGTCACCCTCTCAAATTAATCCAACAAATCAAAATATTCCAAAGCAGAAGCAATAATTCAAACACAATACAAACAAAATCAACCAAAATTCCAAATCAAAAACCAAAATGTAACAATTCAAAACTATAAATTAGAAATTGAAAGAGAGAGAGAAAAATTGACTAACTTTTCGCGAACATAAGCAAGAGGAGCAAGGATTGAGAGAGCAATAAGGTCGCGAAAAACGCAGAAAACGATCTGATTAACACCTTCATTAAGAACAAGTTTAGTAATAACATGGTATCCGCCATTACAGAGCTGAACCAAAACCAAGGCACCGTGAGCTTTCCATATCTCGCCGCCATTGACGATCATGGAGCTCATACCAGCACCACCTACATTCGCCATTAATGATGCTTCTGAAGCTCCTCTTTCTCTGTATCTCATGAAAACAAATTTGGGATTTTAGGGTTCTTGCGTGAATTTTGGTGGGTGTGAAGATTGAATGTCGTGATCAAGAACAGTTGAATTGGCTTTGAAGGGAAGAATTGAGTGTTTTACTGGTAATCTTCAGTACAGTCTGTTCAAACATCATCAAGTGACTACTAAAAAATTAAAATTTGAAGAAATGAAAGGTACCCTTGACGAATTCGTGCGAGGACTAGTTGTGTCCTGTGTCCATTATTCGGATAAAAATCGAAATACAATTCAATTCAAATCGAAATATTAATTCGAGTGAATTCAAATTTTAATTCAGATCATATTAAATCGAAATTTTTGAAAATTTTGATTATCGGATCAGATAAAACTTGTTTGGATCCAAAATAACAAAAATATGAAACCGTTACGGTACTGAATTGAACTTATTTTTACCAACCTGAAATTACTATCTGAAACCTAACCACCCACAACTGATCCCTATTTACTGAATCGAAATTACGTATCTTCGATAAAGTTACTAAATTGAACTTATTTTTACTAAGATGAAATTATATATATTCTATAAAGTTACAGTGCTGAATTGAATTTATTTTTACTAACCTGAAATTAATTTGATTTATGAACCGGGTTTTAATGATGATGTTATTACTTTGCTTAATTTTATTATTCCATAAAAAAAAAACCATTCTCTCTAATCCCTATGCATGATCAACACCCACCAGCTACTCCATATACACTTAACAAAAACAATCAAAATTCGTCTACATTTCTGCCTTCATTAGAGGTGTATTTGTTTTTCGGTTTGGATTTTGGCTAAATCCAATCCGATTCGAAATAAAATTCGGTTTTTAATTTCAAATCCAATTCGATCCGAATTTCTCATCAATCCAACCCGAATTATAATTCAGTTATTTGGATCGGATCCGAAAATCCGAATTAAATACATTGTAAATTTTTAGGGGCTAAAGTGATTATAAAAATAAAAATGCAATAATAAAGTTGTAAATGATTAATATAAGGCCCTGTTCTCTTCACCTTAATTTTGCTGAACATAAATTATTTTTACTGAATTAGAATTATTTTTGCTGAACTTAAATTATTTTTACTGAACTTAAATTAATTTTACTGAACTGAAATTATTTTTGCTGAACTGAAATTACTTTTACTGATATTCTATTATAATTCTTCTTTAAGAAAACTGAATTTTACTGAAATGAACTTATTTTTACTGAACTGAAATTATTTTTACTGAACTGAAATTAATTTTACTGAAATGAACTTAGTTTTACTGAACTGAAATTATTTTTACTTAGTATTGAAAACATAGTTTTACATAATTTATATTAATATAATTATCAAAGTAATATTACATGCTTAATATAAAGGAAAATTTGATAATTACCACCAACTATTGTTGTCAAAATTGAAAATACCACCTCAAGTTTTTTTTAAAAAATTTTACCACCTAGTTTTTTCCAAAAGTTTTCAATGTGTGACATGACGTCATCATGCTGATTTCCCTCTTTCTTCCCACGATGTCCTTCCAATTTCATCTTTAAATTTGATTTCAAATACAAAAATTTCGCAAATTAGGTTATAATTGCTACAATCTAACCTACAACAAATTGAATTAAGTAGTTTAATTAGGGTTTGGGTAATCAATTTGGGGGTTTTGCTCAATTCAAAAAAATTAGGGTTTATGAATTGATTAATTGGACAATTAAACATGTAATTGGGGGAAAAACATAATTTAAACTTATAATTGGGGCGAAAACACTAACATTGTAGTGGTGATTAATGAATTCATAAACCCTAATTTTACATGTAATTGGGGCGAAAACACTAACATTTTATGAATTACATGTTTAATTGCCCATTTAAATTATGTTTTTACCCTAATTACATGTTTAATTGTCAAGTTATTCATCCAATTAATGAATTCCTAAACCCTAATTTTTCGAATTTAGCAAAGCCCCCAAATTAATTACCCAAACCCTAATTAAACTACTCTATTCAGTTCGTTGTAGGTTAGATTGTAGAAATTATAACCTAATTTGCGATATTTTTGTATTTGAAATCAAATTTGAGAGATGAAATTGAAAGAAGGGAGTAGAAGAACAGGGGAAATCGAGGGAAGAAAGAGGGAAAACGAAAGTGTGGGTCCCATGATGACGTCATGCGGCAAAAAGGTGGGAATTTGAAAACTTTTGGAAAAAACTAGGTGGTAAAATTAAAAAAAAAAAAAAAAAACTTAAGGTGGTATTTTCAATTTTGGCAACAATAGTTGGTGGTAATTATCAAATTTTCCTAATATAAACCATCATTGTTTGTACACAAAGTAAATAGGGATCAGTTATGGGTGGTTAGGTTACAATTTCCTCCCAATTGTTGATGCGAGGGATCAAGTGCAGTCTCAATAACCACTACATCAACAACCAATTGGTGGTTCAAATATTAATTCAAGTTTTGTAAAAATAATTTAAGTTCAATTAAAATAATTTCAATTTTGTAAATCAGATGTACTCTTAAAATAAAATTTAATAAAAATAAGTTCAATTTAGTAACTTCAAAGAAGATATATAATATAGAATCAGTAAAAAATAATTTCGATTCAACAAAAATAATTTAATTTGAGTAAAAATATTAAAATAGGTGACATTAGTAATTTGATAAATTTTGTAATATTCTTTCGGTATAACTTTACACTTTTTTTTAGGAAAAATAGAAACTAATAATCCCATCTTTGAGTTTTCTACCTCCAAAGTAAAAGGGGGAGGGGTAAATGTATCTTTTTACTCCCAACCATTTTATAGTAAGTGGGGCTCGAACCTGTAACCTCAAGTCACAAGGTGAGTTTTCCACTTCTCCAATCCCCACCAACTCCACTTGTCTTACCATATTTATTAGGGGTGAGCATGGGACGGGTACCCGTACCGTTAGTATTAACGGTTTGGGTACTCGATAACCAAAATCCCTAAAAGTGATATCCATAACCCGAATCGATAAGTTCGGGTACCCAGATTTTCAGATCGGTTATCAGGTACTCAATAAGATATCCAATAATGATAATTAAACTTAATTATGTAGTTATTATGATATAATTTACCACTAATTAACAACAATATCGTATGATTTTGACCAAATTATTAATAATATTACTAATCATTGATATTATAAAGTAATTATGAAGTAAAGTAAGAGTTTAGATTTTTTAAAAATATATTTAAATAGGAAAAAAAGCACAAAATGCTTATCGGATCAAATCGGGTAACCGTTAGTTTTAAAATGATACCCAATAACCATACCCAATAACAAATTATCGGAACGGGTCCCCGAACCGTTATAGTTATCGAATCGGGTACCCTAATTTTTGGAACAGTTACGGATCAGGTTTTTGGTTTTTCGAGTAGTTTAGATTTTAACACCTGCTAAAAACCCGAAAATGGTTTTTAACACCTCCCAAAAAAAATGGGTATTAACACCATACAAATTTCCAAAAAATTGGTATTACCACCACTTAACAGTTTTCGTTAAAAAATTCCGTTAAATGTGGTCCACAGTGACACGTGTCACTATTTATTTGTTAAAAAAAAAATTAAAAACCTAAAACTACCCCAGCCCCACCCACTGCGCCACCACCGTTGTCCCCAAACCCACCCCCTGCCGGCGTCCGGCGTCCCAGAGAATCGCCCGGCACTGGCGACCCCACCCCCACCCCCCTTTCCTCCACCTACGCACCCCACCCCTTCCCTTTCCCCATTTTTGTTTCCCGACCCAACAACCCCAAAACCACCCTAAATGGGTTTTAGGGTTTCGTTTGGGGTGGTAGGGAATCGATTAAGGGAGGGGGAAAGGAGAGGGAGGGCGTTTCCGGGGGAGGAGGAAGGGGAGGAGGGGCGTTTTCCGGGGGAGGGGCATTTAGGGTGGTTTCGGGGTGGTGGGTCGGGAAACGAAAATGGGGAAAAGGAAGGGGTGGGGTGCATCGGTGGAGGAAAGGGGGGTGGGGGTGGGGTCGCCGGCGCCAGGCGATTCTTTGGGACGTCGGACGCCGGCAGTGGGTGGGTTGGGGGACGATGCTGGTGGCGCTGTGGTGGGGCTGGGGTGGCTGGGGGTAGTTTTAGGTTTTTTTTATTTATTTTATTTTTTAAAATTTTTTTTTTTATTATTTTGGCCAATAATAAAGAGACACGTGTTTGTATGGCCCTACTTAACGGATTTGTAAACGGAATCAGTTATGTGGTGGTAATACCCAATTTTTTGAAATTTGGGTGGTGTTAAAATCAATTTTTTTTGAGAGGTGTTAAAATCTAAAATAACCTAATATTTATAGTAAAACACATCTTTCTTATTTATTTATTTATTTATTCGGTATCCTTATTTCAAAACATTGTCTTATTTTTAAGTTAATACCTAGATTGATACATCATGCAATTTTTTTTTAATTTTTAATTATTTTAATCATAATTTACATTTATATATTGTTTGCTTTATTACCATAAGTGATAAGTCCATAATCATCCACGCACTATCGTTAATCACCATATAGGAAATTAGAAACTCGTTGCAATTTACAATCTTATATACTAATTGTACTTATAATATATGGTCATACAATGCAAATATGTAATCCCGATTTTTTTTCCTTAACATCATAGATTTATTTTCCATAAACAAACTATTTACAACTGCATATATATTATTACCAAAATTGAACGGAAAAAAAAATAATACAAATTCTTAAATGGACCTGGTTCACACTAATTTATTGTGGACCACTAACATTAGAGAAAGTATGGTTGTTTTATTAATAAAAAACGGGTCACTATAATTAAAAAAAGGTCACTATGTTGAAATAAAAATCATTTTGGTAATATACATGCCTAAGTGGTTATTTTTGTAATGAAATATTTTATATACTGATCAATATGAATAATAAAGGCCACTAGGATAATAGCGTCGTATTTCAAGTTCACAATATTATTAAACATTGTAGTAGTTTTAATAAAGGTTACTATGTTAAAAATAAGGTTACTATGTTAAAAATAATGGTCACTATATTCAATATAATGTCAGTCGCGTGTGTATAGACCTCGGGTCCACAATAATATTATTGTGGACCAGGTCCACGCAAGTCTTTTTGAAAAAATAAAAGAAAAGATTCTTACATTTCTTTCCAAGAAATCTAGTTTTCCTACAAATTTCTTAAGTAGTTAAAAGTAACCCTTCCTTCAAAAAAAAAACCCTTTATATATGTTTTGTTTTTTTATTTAAAAGTTGTTTATCACTCAAATAACTCGATTATCACCTCTAATTGACAATTTGACATCTATCATGTCTTCAACTTATCAAAATGAGCAAAACCCGAAACTCAAAACCCGTGAAGTTGAAGAAAAGAAGAGGGAGGATGGAGAAGAAAAAGAAGAGTGCGCGCCTTGTTGGATGTCCTTTTACATGGAGGCTGGTGGGTGCGGGGATGAATTCATACAACTTGATGAACATTGCGGTGTAGAAAACAACTTTGACAAGTGCAATGAGGTTAATACAAAAATTGTCAAGTGTATGGAAGCCAATCCTAAATACTTTCAACTATTTCTCCAAGCAATTGAACAAGCCAAAGAGGTCAAGGAGAATGACAAGCATATTAATCATGCAAGTTCTAAGGGTGTTGAAGAAATTAAGCCAAAAGTTGATGGTTAGAGAATGAAGGATACGGATTAGGCATTGAAATTCACAAAATTATAAGTGGTTGTATGGATTTGCATGATGAGATAATATTAAATGAGTTTTGGGTAATGAAGAGATTAGTACGTAGTGATGTTATTATTATTATTATTATTATTATTATTATTATTATTATTATTATTATTATTATTATTATTATTATTATTATTATTATTATTATTATTAACTCCGTTATATATTATTTGCAACGATTTGACATAAAGTAGAGAGAAAAAATGTCTAATCGTTGCAAATAATATGTATTGGAGGTATTACTATTATTATTATAGAGAAGGGTAATTAATCCAAAAATTTTCCTTTACGTTTAAGAATTATAAGCAATAGATGATGTGGTTAGTTGCAAGTTATTATTATTTGTTTATGATCTATATGTTTGTTCTTATTATAAACATGAAACATCTCTATGCTCATAAGCTAATACCGAGTTAGTGAGATTAATTTGCGCATTTCATAAATTCCACCATTGATTTATGCAAATGACATAAAAAGAAATTCTTTTCAAAGAAGATTTTTTTTCCCCTTTGTTTAGGAATATATGTTGGCGCGACGCTAGCTACTTGCAATATGTAATATTATGGGTGTGCTACGCTCATTTATGCATGTGTGATATAAGGTGCAGTGCTTTCTTGCCTAACATTCATTTAGTGATATAGGAAAGCATTTTTTGCACCCAAAAAAGAAAAAAAAAAAGGAAAGCATTTCTCTCAATAATGGGTGTGCTAATATTTATTATATTATTTTTTTTTAAATATGAGATTATTACAATTTTTTTATTATTATCATTATCTATACTTTACTTTATATCAAGCTTAACTCTTTTTATTATTATTATTATTATTATTATTATTATTATTATTATTATTATTATTATTATTATAGGGGAGGGATCCGGTAAGAACCCCTCCTTATGTAAGAATCCTAGTTATATAAGAACCAATCTCATCCGTAGGATTAGATTAGGATGAGCGGTCAAGATTAAAACAAAAAAAAAAAACTCCCCCAAAACCCTCCCCAAACGTTCATACTTTTCTCTCTCCTCAAACTTTCAATCCTCTTTACTTTCTCTCTCCTCAAATCTCAAAATCTAGCCCAAATTGCTGCAAAACAACCTAAATTGCTCAAATCAGGTACGTTTTTCTTTGATTTTGTTCTAATTTTATGAATTTCACATGATATTCAAGTCGATTTTGTGCTTTCAATCACATGATGTTTGCAAATTGGCGATTTTGATTTTTGCGATTTGATTTTCATGAATTTTGCATGAGTTAAAGCCGATTTTGTATGTTTTTCTTTTCGATTTTGTTTAAATTTCTATGAAATTAGCATGATGTTCAAGTGGATTTTGTTTTTCTTTTCGATTTTTTTGAGTTCGATTTTTGAAAATTTAGGGCTCGAATTTAGGGTTCGATTTTTGCAGCTTTAGTGTTCGAATTTAGGGTTCAATTTTAGTTCGATTTTTGTTCGATTATTTTGTTCGATTTTTGCTCGATTTTAGTTCAAATTTTGCTTGATTTTAGTTCGATTTTGCTAATATTTTGATTTTTGTTCGATTTAATTAGTTCAATTTATGTTCGAATTATTTTGTTCGATTTTTGTTGTTTGTTTTCTGTCAATTTCGAACAGGCTTGTATAATGTTCTAGACTCTTTTTTTTTTTTAAAATTATGTTCTAAACTCATTCTATTATGTTCTATGTTTAAATTAATGGATAATGTTCTAAACTCTTTTTTAAAAAAAATTATGTTCTAAACTCATTCTATTATGTCTACGTTTAAATTAATGGATACCCGACAACATAATCATAATGGAGGTGGATCTTTGATTTTCACGATATATAATTCCACGTTTTAAAAGCATTGCTAAATGCTGCTGAATTATTCAATGGGAAAATGTACCGAAGAAAATTCAATAATAGAGCATCTAGAACAGAGACAACATAAAATTAGTTATCATCTCGACCTATCGCTGTCAATTCGTTCATAATACGATGTGACATTACAATCAAAGAGGAATCATAAAAAAGGCGTAAAATTAGAATGCTGTCAAAATTTTGATCAATTATACTAGAATGTTTGGTTTTGATAGTTCATTATTAGAGTTCATATGAGATTGCAAATAATATGAAGCATTTGCTGGTAGTTGCACAAATTTAGTCATTTAGGTTAGTTCATGTAAAAATAAGAGTATTATAGTAAGATATTAGGTTAGCACTTGCAGTAGATAAATTTGCATAATATTTTATAGGAATGGAATCACTGGATGAACATCCAACTGTATATTTTCCTCTGTCAGACTGATGTAATTTACTTGATAACACTTCCTAGTAGTACTGTAGTAGTTGTGTTGGGTAATGTGTGAGCTATGGTGGTTGTTTTAGCAATAATGGAGGCATTTGAGTTTCTACATGTGATCGTTTTCCTCTACTTCTATGGGAGGGTAGTGTGTTGATCTATATCAAAAACCTATTAGCTCAAGTGGTAGAGCACTATGCAAACTGCATAGATGATGTAGGTTCGAATCCTACATAGGCTATATTTATAAATAACTATATAAAAAAAAACTTAATCATCGTTCTTTCCTTAGAATAAATTTAGAAAAAATTAGATCATAATTCATAATGTTATAATTTAGAACATAAGAAATAATTTTAGAACATAGGGAAAAAAATTAGAACATAGGCTCAAAAGATAGGTTTAGAACATATAAAGAATTGAAATTTAGAACATGGACAAAAACACTAAGAATATAGGAAATGATTTTAGAGCATAGGGGAAAAAAATTAGAACATAGGCTCAAAATATAAGTTTAGAACATAGGAAAAAGTTTAGAACATAGATTAAAAAAAAATTAGAACATGAAAATGTAAAATTGAACATAAATCGAAAATCAAGCATAAATGGAAAATCAAGCATAAATCTAAATTTAGAACATAGCAAAAAAAATTAGAACATAGGGAGTAAATTTAGAACATAGAAAGAAATTTAGAACATACACGAAAAACTAAGAATATAGGAAATGATTTTAGAGCATAGGGGAAAAAATTAGCAATAATTCTTGGGTGGACCAAAGGTCTCACGTGCCAAAGCAAGTTATATAAATTTGACTCCATTTACCTAGAGGTCACTATATACAAAAATAAGGTAATTATATCAAATTATATAAATTTTGACGACATTTACACAGAGGTCATTATATATAAAAATAAGATAACAATAACAATTCTTGCACGTAGGTCACTATATATAAGAATAAGGTAACTTTATCAATTTTGATGACATTTACACAAAGGTCACTATATATAAAAATAAGGTAACAATATCAATTTTGACGACGCTTGCACTTAGGTCACTATATATAAAAATAAGGTAACTTTATCAATTTTGACGACTTTTACACAAAGGTCACTATATATAAAAATAAGGAAACTATATCATTGATAACTATACACAAATAGAGGTAACCATATCATTGATAACATGGTTGAACCTTGAATCTGCACATCCAATTCCTTCTTAATCAAGTCTTTCACCTCAGAGAAACCAAGGCACCAATGCTCCATACGGATCAATCTTCTGGCAAGTAATGTTCTGCATGACCATATTTTTTTTTTACTAAAATTAGAAAACCCAACTTATGCAAGATTAAACATCAACCTATATAGCAATAATTTCAACTAAACCTTAACTGTTACTTCTCTGCTTCTTATACTCTATTTAAATATATAAAAAGAGAACTAAGAGGGATTTCATTAGAAAAGAACTCGAGATCGAGATTAAGAGAACAAATGAAGTGGCAAAAGGAGAAGCTAGATGTAATCCTGGTACCAGCAGGGCTATTCATGATGTTTGGTTACCATATCTTCTTGCTATATAGATACCTCAGGAATTCAAAGTATACCGTACTCGGCTTTCATAACCACTGCCAAAAAGAATGGGTCAAGAAGCTTATGCAGGTTAGACTACCAAACTAACAGACTCCATCACTAATAATCACAAATTAACAATGCTTTTGCCTAGAAAAGGATCTTGCTCTCTCGGAACAAAGAGTAATAGGGCTCAAAAGATATGACACAAATGATCAAACAAAATCTACAAAGAGTTCTTATAGCACCGCAAACTACACTAGAGCAATCACCAATTAATTGGCCAAATTCATCAACAAGAAGTTACACCCAGCGAAACATGAATTGACACAAACACATATACTTTGTGGTGCTTGAAGTTACTTAACTAAATAATTATTAGCAATGCAGATATAAACATCATTGGAAAAAGGCAAAATCCAGATTTCAGAAAATCATCATTATTGACTAAATTGTAGTATATGTATGAAATTGTGCGATTAAATAACTATACAGAAAGCTGAAAACAAGCCCTCAAGCAAACCACCACTTCCAGAATACGTCAATATGAATCCCGCCTTCTCTATTCAAATCATTACTATACATAAATTGAGTTGAGCAAAGAGCTACACACATTGAATTAACATTATTCAACAGCTCTCTTTTATGTCAAACTAAAAGAAAGGGAAAAAAAGAAAAAAAAAAACAGAAAAAAAAAACCTGATGTTACACTGCCTTTGACATGATGCTCCATTCGATCACTAAATTAATTAACCCTTTTTTTGTATGTACCATAATATAAACACAATATCTGAAACATTACCTTCGAAAAATCGAAAAAACAGTACAAATCATGAAGAAAAAAAATCGAAAAACCCTAGATCTTCAATAATCTTCAATACGAATCAAAATTCAAACAAAAATCATTCAAATAGTTTAAATTAAAGAAAAACAACAATGAATAACCTCAAAATTGCAGAAATCCAGTGCAAATCATGAAAAAAAAATCGAAAAAACCCTAGATCTTCAATAATCTTCAATACGAACCAAAATTCAAACAAAAATCATGCAAATAGTTTAAATTAAAGAAAAACAATAATGAATAACCTCAAAATTGCAGAAATACAGTGCAAATCATGAAAAAAAAAATCGAAAAACCCTAGATCTTCAATAATCTTCAATACGAACCAAAATTCAAACAAAAATCATGCAAATAGTTTAAATTAAAGAAAAACAACAATGAATAACCTCAAAATTGCAGAAATACAGTACAAATCATGAAAAAAATCGAAAAACCCTAGATCTTCAATAATCTTCAATACGAAACAAAAATCACACAAACAGTATAAATTAAAGAAAAACAAAAATGAATAACCTCAAAATTGCAGAAATCAAATGATAAACAACAATTATACCAGAAAGTGGTCGAGTAGCTGAAGAACGAAGGCCTCTTCTCGGTTGAACTGTACCACCACCTCTAGTTCTTGCCATTGAAGAATAATTCGAGCAATTTTACAGAAAAATCGGTGTTGATTTTGTAGAGAGAGAAAATGGAAGAACGGAGGTCGGAAGAGAGAGAAAGTGTGTAGGCTGCGTTTTTTTGGGAAAAGAAATCAAATGCATGCGTTTTGGGTGGGAATAGAGGAAGGCAGGAAGCAGTAGTAAGATGTTGGAGAGAAAGCTAGAGTCACGTGATAATACCGGGTCCACAATAATTTATTGTGGACCAGGTTTATTTAAGTTTTTATAAAAAACTAGAACATAGGCTCACAATATAAGTTTAGAACATATGCAAAAGTTTAGAACATAGACAAATTTTTTTGAACATAGACAAAAAATTTAGAACATGGAAATATAAAATCGAACATAAATCGAAAATCAAGCTTTTTATGTTCTAACTTTTTTCTGCTTATGTTCTAAATTTTTGTTTGCTTATGTTCTAAATTTTTGTTTGTTTATGTTCTAAATTTTTTCTACTTATGTTCTAAAAATTTTCCTATGTTCTATATATATATATATAACGTAATTCAAATACGTTAATATATTCGACTAGATTCATTTACACCTCTAGTCATTTGTCCGATTGATTATTTTTTTTGGTGTTTAGAGAGCCACAAGGGCGGGGTGAGAATCGATCTCAGGATCTCCTGGAATCGGGAGGGAAGCTCTAACCACTTGAGCTATCCCTCACTCTCGCTCTTTGTCCGATTGATTATTGAAGGCATTACACTTGACTTTGTGAGTTGTGGTCAAGTTATGAACCCATTTTATACTATGTGTCAAAAAGTCTATAACTAGTACACTTATAAAGCATAACATGACATATACTTTATTTGACTATAGTTAATAACGTATTAGAAAAAGACTTCCATTCTTTCAACTAGCTAATACGCGTTAATGATGATTAATCATTAATGAGAAACCAACGCCAATTTTCTGCACTAAACTTAGATTGATTTTCAATAATTATGTAAATTAATTAAACAAATAACTGTTAGCTAGCCAGTTTGCACAGATCTGAAAGTTTGATAATTCTATCCAAGTCTTTCTTTAGTTAAAGTTGACGATGAGATACATGCTGTTGAATTTTTTTTGAAAGAACATGCTGTTGAAATTAATTATTGGTGAAATCATTAATGTCTTGATGAAATTATTGTCATCCATGAGAGTATGAGACTCAATTATATGAATGGCAATCAACTAATCATATAATTTAATAATGAAGAGGTATTTTGTGTGTAACCTGTGACACGTTACAACATTATATATTTTTTAAATGTTTAGATAGCTACAAGATTAGCTATATTTAATGTATAATCTTAAGGCCCTGAGATCGGATTTTGCAAAAATCATGACATGGATTATAAACAAATTAAAAGAAGAGATTGGATTATATTGGAGTTTATATTATAGTAAAAGTACATCGATAGATAAAACGCGTACACCTAATTTAGATAACTAATCGAAAATGATACGACAAACTTTAATAAAATCATACCAAAGAAAATTTCGCATTTCATGCATGAGTATGTGGATCCACATAAAGCATGAAAAATGCCAACATCAAACACCCTTTGTGATTCTTTCTACACCAAAATAAAAACCGATCAATTTTCACTTTATCAGTGTTATTAACCAGGCAAAGCTCCTCCACTAATAAAGATGACCCAAAAATACAGTAAAATATAATTAAAATGAGCACCAATTTGGGTAATTGAAAAAGACAGTTAACTAAAAAGCAAATTAAGGTGACAACAGAAATAATTTGTATTGGTGTTTAAATAAAATAGAGGAATCATACATCAGATGTCATTCTTCCTAACCCCTCCACTCCCAATCCTATTTATTTGTAGTTTTATGTGCTAACCAAGAGATTCCCTCCTTCAAATTCTTATAAATACTCTTTCCTCTTAATCTTGTTTTGTGCATCCTTTCAAACTTTTCTTGCTTGATTAATATTAAGGTAATGGTTGTAAATGCTCTTGCTTTAATTAGTTTGATTTTATACGTGTTTCGTCTGTTTTGACGTAATTGTCACAAGATATATAAAAAAAGTCAATATAGGAAGAACTTTTTAAGAAAGAATGCATTTTTTACTTTTTTATTTTAATTCACGTTTTTAATAATTTTGGTGTATTTATATGTGGTAGATTTATTGCTATCTACCCTCCAAATTAAAGAAAATGGATGCTGTTGTGAGCTACAATGGGGCTAAGTATGATTGCCTACTTTTTGGTAAGTTGCAAAAACTTAAAATTAAAATTATTTTTACTATGGAATTAAGTTAATTGATGAATTATTCTAATAAAAAGTAGGACTTGATAATTTTTGTGCTAATATAATTATGTTTTACATAATTTTTAGATTTGGATGATACTTTGTACCCATTGAGTTCAGGGGTCAACTTAGCTTGCAGAAAGAATATAGAAGGTATGTGCCCAAATTTAAGGAAAGGGGTATGTAGTATTATTATTAACTATAATCCTGCAATAATATTGATATTTTGTGACAGATTACATGCTAAAATTCTTGCATATGGATGAAAGTGAGGTCCCAAGGATGTGTCTAGATTTGTATAGGGAACATGGTACCACTATGGCAGGTCTTAAGGTATGAAACTTCTGAGACTCGAATTCGAGAACTTACATCCTTACATGTTACATACCCCTGTTAGGAGCCCCGAACTTGAATAAGATTTTAATGATATGATTTCAGGCACTTGGGTATGAATTTGACAACGACGAATTTCATGAGTATGTTCATGGAAGTTTGCCTTATGAAACTCTGAAGCCTGATCCTGTGTTGAGAAACCTTCTGCTGTCGACTCCCCAACGTAAAATTGTATGTACACTTACTGTCTTAAGCTAATATAGATATAGTATGGTTAGTTTGTTGTATGATCATTTTAATAATTTGTTTGATTTGTGTGGTGTACTGCAGGTATTCACTAACTCTGATAAGGCACACACAGCTCGTGTGCTTAATAAGCTCGGTTTAGGAGATTGTTTCGAGGGTATAATATGTTTTGAGACCCTTAATCACCAAGACAATAATGAACCAATATCTAAGTCACATATTTTGTGTAAACCATCTGTTGAAGCTATTGAAGCTGCTATTAGTATCGCGAACTTAGATCCTAAAAGAACAGTAAGAATCCTTTATCGCCTTACTTGATCCTGTAGTCTGTAATAATAATCCTCGAAACAAAATACTTTTTGTCCAATTATTTGTCAGTTCAACTTACACAGCTAACGCGATTATTATTGATCCTTCCTTCAGATTTTCTTCGATGACAGTGCAAGAAATATTGCTAGTGGGAAAGCAGCTGGACTTCACACTGTTGTTGTAAGCATTCTTTACTTCAATAATCTACAAGATGATATAAAGGGCATATTCTTTATCAGTATCTTTGTTTGCTTTACACTAAATACGAAATACTTATGTTGTTTTTTCGCATAAGAGAGGGAATTGTAGAAGTGTAATACAATGACTATACCAACCATCTTTCAGAAATCTAATCAGATAGCACTAAAAACACATACAAAAGGCTAAAATTTACCCATAACTGTCTACAAGTTGCAGAAATTTGGTACTAGTGCATTATGAGTATCCTTCTAGCACAAAAACTACTAGACTTATCAAGCCGGAATTTTACACTGAACTTATCTGAACGTATTGTTATTAGTTGTCAAATATACCTCAGATTTGTTAGCCTTGAATTGATCATCTGGTTTTTAATTTTTTATTTATTTTTTTATTATGATGTGAAATTATTATCCGAACTTGTTAGAGATAAAGCTTTGATTTAGTGAATCTTATGATATAGGGATCAACTAAAATATGGAATTTTATTATGTAGGTGGGGAGGTCAGAACTTGTTCCAGGGGCTGATTATGCATTAAGGAGTATCCACAACATGAAAGAGGCACTTCCTGAAATCTGGGACGCCGAGGCAAAGGAGCACCATGAGCAAGTCCTTCAGGCAGCAACTGCAGAGACCGTTGTTCGAGCATAATAAACCACCGGTCCACCCTACCATCAAAGTCCTCCATCCTCGGATCCTCCCCTATCCCCCAACAAAAAAAAAGAGCAAAAAACATCCCAGTGGTAAAGCGTTATTGATTACTTCAAAAGGCTTTATCAGGGGTGACAGAAAGAAGGGTGAAGTTTAGAACGCTTCTGATGTAATTTATGATATAGTATATGCAAATTATTAACATATTGATCCACTGTAATTGCTTGTATAAGCTTGCCAAGAATAATAAATGACAAGGTATGCAGCATTATTGCAGTTTCTTCTGCTAATCTAGCAGCATGATTTTTTTTATTTTTTTTATTTATTTATTATTTTTTTATGTATGAACCTTTTTTATGATGAACTGAACTAATTGAACGGAAACAATTGCTATAAACCTATGGACATCTATGGTGAGCTTTGAAGCATCTGAATTACATGCACAACTTTATAGCACAGAGCATAATTTGAGAACACGTGCCACTCCAAAGTGTAAGCGCCACACCTTGCATTTGAGAGACTATGTTTATGATCATAATCTTCCGTGCTATACAGGTACATGAAACTCTTGGCCAATTTTCCCTTGTTTTATGGCTAACACTAGCTAAAACAGACACACTCGATAATGAGCAGCAGCATTAACAGGACGCATAATACCTATGAATCTATGATCTCATTTTTAATTATCTAGAAGCAAATATTGTGGCTAGAAATTAAAATATGTATGATGATTATTGCAAACAAAGGACCACATATTTTTGTTAAAACAATCATTCATGCACCAACTTGTTTAAAGTATATCAGCAAGCACTAACCAAGGATAAATCTAAGCCACTAATCCTAGATTTGTTTTCTATATTACTAATCAGTATCCATCAAAACACAAACATAGCCAGGAATGTGAGAACCTGACACGACCTAGCAACATCAGCAAGCGCATAATGCTGTGGCCTGTACACTGCAGTTGAAATCTGCAATTACCAATTTACTACAGCACGTTATACGACTAATCTGTCATAAAAAGTACAGAGATTAAGGATGAATTGATGATCTCTACCATTGTGGCAATACAACCCATCTCTACCTAAAGTAACAAGGACTACTACAGTCTACAGAGTATACACTAGCAGAGGCAACTGCATGATTCTGTCTTTTTTGGCACAGAGAAAATATAATATAGACACAATAGAGCTCTACTAATAGTTAATAGATTGTCAATGGATGAGTTTTTCTGGTTAAGTTTGAAATGACAAACATGAATATACTTGTTAGAAATCAAAAGCAACACAGTTTAATAAGAGAAAATTCAAGTTTATCATCTATTCACCTAGATAACTAGGAATTATCAAGGATCATTTTCATAGAAGTGCATGTAAGTTTGGGGATGTTATTGTGATTTTCATATTTATACAAATTTTTCCCTAGACTCTAGTCTAGGCTGCTTTCCCTACACCCCCTAACTAACTACGTCGTTTTATCCCCTTTCCCCCACCAGTTTTTTTTTTTTTCTCTTCTTTACTCTCCATTCAAGCTTTGAAGAGATAATATTTCTTTCCTTTTCTCTCTCCTCATTTTACCAATTTTAGTTTCTCTCTCCTCTTTTAATTGATTTCACTTTCTCTCTCCTACATTTTTTGATTTTTTTTTTTTTCAAATTTTTCTCTTCTTCCATGGAGATTTTTTATCTCAATTGCATTTGATTATGATTGTGCCTCTATTTTCCTCCTTGGTTTACTCGACTCATTTAACAATCAATGTGAATAATTTGTCACTCAATCAATGTGAGAAATTTTGATTATAATGCTTTGATGTCATAGTTTTTGTTGTATTGATTTTAATTTTGATAATGCTCTGGTTTTAGTATTGTTATTGTTTTTATTAGTTGATTCATATATAGTTTTGGTTGTATTATTCTTCTAATTTGATTTTTATTTGTGTTATTGTTTTTATTTTGTAATTTTGATTGTTGTCTTTCCAGTTTTGTGTGTCTTACATGAACATCTATAGTAATTGTAATAATATTACTAACCAATTATTTTTATTAGCTTGTTGTGTCATATAAAATAATCTTAGTTAAAAAAATGATCATTTGTGCAATAGTAATTTAAATGTTCATTTATGTTTAATGTATTTTTTTTAGTAAACTATAAATTTATTTTTGTTGTATTTATATATATATATATATATATGTTGTCCATATGAATTTCAATAATTTTCATTCTTTTAAAGATGCTCATATCTATTTTAACTAGTTGATGAACGTATTTTAATATATTTGTTCCCTAAAAAAAATCTTAACATTTGTTATTTTGTTTTGTTGTAATAATGTTCAATTATGCAATCATAAATGTTCATTTATATATATACTTGTGTTTATGGAATTATAAGTTGTACATGTGACGTTTAATGATTATATATCAATATTTATTGTTTTATAAATGATGTTTAGTTATGTAACTATATAGATTATCATTTATATCTTCACATATAGTAATTTAATTGTAAGTGATCAAATGCATTATTGTAATTGACCATTACTGCTACTATATATGTTCATTTGTTACATGTTTATTTATTGCAGTGGGAAAAGAGGATGCTATTAATTTTGAAGAAGCAAATCAGTTTGATTTTTGGGGGAAGCAATTTCCTTCTGAAGATGACGCTTATGAAATGTTTAACGAGTATGCTTTTATGAAAGGTTTTGGAATTAGAGTTTGGAAGAGTAAGAGGCGAAGGGATGACTCATTTTCTATGAAAGGATTTATTTGTTCTAATGAGGGTTATAAAGATAAAAAGTGTAGCTTAGAAATATTAGGTCCTAAGAGAGACTTAATACAAGAATTGAGTGTTTAGCTTTAATTTTGTGCAGTTTTCTATTGATCATTCAGGTGTTTTATGAACATATAGTGTCAAATATTCTAATATATATATAGTTAGTGAATTATTGTTCAAAGTCGAATATTGTAAATGTTCAACCACAAATTTAAGTTGTTATGAATATTTAGTTTTTTGTTTACGAACATATATTTTTTTCCTAATATGAACATTATATATATGTGTGTGTGTGTGTATATATATATATATAAGGATGTGAATCTGTAATAATATATATTTTTGAAAAAAAGAGTTTATTTCCTTCTTATTAAATTCAAATAGAAATTGTATATAACCAAAAATTCAAATATTGGATATTAAAATATACATCACATCAATTCCACACATATTATTATACATAATGAATTCTCGATCCAAAATTGAAAAAATTCAAGCTCGTGTTATTGGTTCGTGTTGCGCGAATCCATGCCTTCTTGATTTATTTATTTTGTCTTTCCTTTTTTTCCTTGCTATTGTGTGGTGCAACTCACTATATCCACAATTCTTTGTTTAACTAATATACAAAAACAAATGAATTATTAGTTAGATTTGAGCAAGAAGAAGTGTTGAATGAATTGAACCAATTTTCATATGAATAACAGTATAACAATTGAAATAAACATATATTAATATAAAATGAATATATATAAGTGTAGAAATGATCATCTATTAATATGGAAATCAACAACTATTAATACATAAATGAACATATTTACATGATTGAATATGAAAATGAACATCTATCAATATATAAATGAACATGCATTAGTTTAATAATGTCTATGGAAGATATAATCAATGAACATGAAATATATACATAAATAACTTTTGAAGCTATTAATACGTGATTTATCATATATCCATAATAAAAAAGACATATATTGAAACTCAAAACTGATCCGAGCATGATATATTTTAAGAAGATCACCAAAATATAAATATTTATCAAAATTCTAATGATCGTATATTAATATGTGAAAACCATATACATTTATGTGATTGAACATCTACCAAAATACAAATGAACATTCATCAAAATAATATTCCACTATAAACTATGAAAAAGAATGAACATATATTATGACTATGTAGTAATATATAATTGAACATTTATATTAATGATTTATTTGTGAATGACTGTTTACTAATATATAAATGAACATTTATCAAAATGGAAATGAACATTCATTGGAAAAAAAATTAAAAACCCATTACGAACTAATTTATATAATGCTTACTTTTCTCCAAATTCTTTGATGTTCTTCTCTGAAACTATTTCCTTCGTACTGCACAAAAAAAAAGTAAAAAAATAAAGTAAAAAAATAAAATACTTCATATACTCAAAAATCAAAATGCACTTGTTCAGATCACTAGTTTTAAACGAAAATTATTAAAAATTACTTAAATGCAATAGTTCATACTTTTTTTCCATGTTATATGCTTTGATGATATTCCTGTAACACAATTGCAACAAAAAAATTATTAAAACTAGAGTTTATATACTTTTTTTCGAACTAAATATGTATACAAACACTTACTTCTTTGAATTTCGACCTTGATTTGTTGAATTCTATAGTAATTGAACAATTCTTTTGATAACTTGTCACAATTTTGTAGAAATTATCGTATTTTTAAATGCAAAAAATTGGTCTAGAGAGATAAAATGCAGAAAATGGGTTAGGGGAGAGAAAGTAAAATGCAGAAAATAGGTTAGGAGAGAGAAAAAAGATATGAGAAAGGTGGTTTGATTTTTTTGTTTTTATTTATATGGGGGGGTAAAATTAATACAGATACTAATTTTAGGGAAGGGTTGTTAAATGATACTCTGCATTTAGGGAGGGGTGTAGGGGAATATGCCTAGACTAGTGTCTAGCCATATATAATTATCATATTTAGGGTGCGTTTGGTAGGAAGTTAAGAACATGTGTAGTGTCATCTTGGACATTTTTGAGCCCAAAGCGAAAACTAAACAATGAAAACATATTTAGGGTGCGTTTGGTTTGAAGTTAAGAACATGGGTAGTGTCATTGTTAGGAATATAGGAAAATATATTATTGTGATATATTTTTCATATACATCTTATGATATTATATTTCGGATAATAATATATCTTAGTAATATTCTAAGATAGATTTATGAAAGTTTATATGATAGAGTTTATATTATTGTGTAGGTTATTTTTTGTAGGCTATAAATATTAGTCAAGATCATCAATACAATTCAAGCTAATCTCTCATAAAAAATTTGTCATGGTATCAAGAGCAGGTTAAATCTTGGGACCGTTCACACAAATTCTCCCCCTGCCGGTGGGTTAGAATATTAAACCCACCGGTGGGATTCATAAATTTGCTTTTGCTATGCAATAGTATTGCTCTTTGAAATTTCTATTTTTTTATTTAATTTTTTTTTATGGAAT